ATTATATTTCATGGAAAATTAGCTTTTGCATACATCATTAAAGTTACTATTCAGTTGACTTTGAGTTAATTAAGAGGGAGTTTATCAACAAGGAGCTAATCTAATCACATGAATCTCTGAAAGCAGACTTATTTGAGCAGGTGCAGGAGTTAGAAAGATTCTAAACATGAGAAAGCTTTCTGTCTGGTGAGGATAGAGAGGACATAGGAATAGGAAAACATGAGGTCTCTAAGCCTTCTGACTTAGGAAGGGAGCTCAAGCTACAAAAACAAGTTACTAAACTCAAAGAGGTTAGAAATGGATTCTTTCTCAGAACTTCTAGACAAGAACCAAACCTGACCAACACTTTGATTTCAGTTTTGTGAGAACCTTAGCAGAGAACCTAGTGAAACACATTTGTGCTTTTTTTACAGACTATTTTTTAGAGCAGTTTTAGTTTAAAATACATTTATCAGAAAGCATAGAGATTTCCCATATAAATCCTGCCTCTACACACACACAGCCCCTTTACAAATATCCCCCACTGAATTATACATTTGTTACAACTGATGGATCTAAGTCAACACACCATATCACCAAAGTTCACAGTTTACATTATGGTTACAGAGTAATTTCACTGCCCTAAAATTTATCTATGATTCACTCATTTATATATCCCACCTCCTTAATGCCTGACAGCCACTGATTTTTCTTTCTTTTTTATTGTGTCCTTAGTTTGCCTTTTTGGTATTATAGTTGAAATCATATAATATGTAGCCTTTTCAAATTGGCTGCTTTCACATAATATTATGTGTTTAAATTTCCTCCGTGCTTTTGCATGGCTTGATAGCTCAATTCTTTTTAATGATGAGTATTTCCTTGACTTACTGTACAACAATTTATTATTCCAATCAACAACTGAAAGACATTTTGGCTTCTTCTAGGTTTTGGCAGCCACAAATGAGGTTTCTATAACAATCCATGTTCTGGTTTTTGTGTAGATATTAGGTTTCAACTCATTTGGAAAAACTAAGGAGCTGGATCCCATGATAATATTGTTTAGTTTTGTAGGAAACTTCCAAACATTCTTCCAAAGTGTCTGTAGCATGTTGCATTTCCATAAGTGATAGAGCTCCTGTTGCTTCACATCCTCGCCTGCATTTGGTACTGTCAGTGTTCTGGATTTGGGCCTTTCTAATAGGTGCATCTTGTATCTTATGCTTAGTTGCTCAGTCGTGCCCGACTCTTTGTGACCCCATGGACTGTAGCCCACCAGGCTTCTCTGTCCATGGGATTTCCCAGGCAAGAATACTGGAGTGGATTGCCACTTCCTTCTCCAGGGGATCTTCCCTACCCAGGGATCGAACCCAGGTCTGCCACATTGCAGGCAGATTATTTACTGTCTGAGCCAGATTATTATTATTTTGTGTTTTTCTTATCACATATGATGTAGACCATCTTTTCATATTTTTATCTGTACATCTTCCTCGAGGTGTCTGTTAAACTCTTTTGTCCATCTTTTAACTGATTAATTTACTAAACTGCTGTATTTTAAGAATTCTTTATATATTTGAATAACTTTTTTTAATCAGACATTTTTTGCATATATTTTCTCCCAGTTATGGCTTCCCTTTGTATTCTCTTGATTGTGTCTTTAACAGCAAACAAATTTTAAATTTTAGTGAAGTACAGCTTATCAGTTCTTTAATTCATGGATCATGGCTTTGGTACTGTAGTTACAAAGTCATCACCAAACAAAATGTCACTTGGATTATTCCTGTTATTCTCCAGGCCTTCAAGTGTGTAGTCCATTTTGAATAATTTTTGTGAAGGGTGTAAAATATTTGTCTAGATTCTTTGCTTGTTTGGGTATTAAATTTGGGTATTTGGGCATTTGGGTATTAAATTGTTCCAGCATCATTTGTTGATTTATTGAACAGGCTATCTTTGCTCTATTGCATTGACTTTGCTCCTTGTCAAAGAACTGGTGACTCCATTTATGCGGGTCTATTTCTGGGCTATATATATATATCTTTAACTTACATAGATCGTTCTCATATAGATCATGTATGTATTTTTTGTTAGCTTTAATGCCTAACTACTTCATTTTGGGGAGGCACTAATGTGACTATGTGATATATGATCATATCTCTGAACTTCAGTGAGCATGTGCTCAGTTCTTATCACTTCTCAGAAGGGACAGGATGGCTAGTGGGTGGATTTGGGCCTTTCCTTTCTCCCTCATAGAAGAAGACAGAGGATTGAGATTGAGTATTTTCTCTGTTCCATACAGAAGGGTGAGGATGGGCATTTTTGTCCCCTTAGGTCAATTGGGCTCTGGTTAAGCAGCTTGAACGAAGACCTGGTTAAGAAAGGAAGAAATGAGGGAAGACCTGAGGGAAGACCTTGTTAAGAAAGCAGAATGCTCTGGACTTGTATCAAAAGATATAGTTCCTTTCCCCCTTTCCCTTTCAGAAGCATGGAATTATTTTCCTCTGGTATCTACTGAAAGAATTAATAGAGCAGCAGCAAATATATATATATAACTTGTGTCCCCTGTCAGTGTCAATAGGGGAGCCCCAATGACTGGGTTCCCCGAGTTTTAAACTTCTGAGTTGCACACTCTGAGCCTTCAGCAATCCTTCAATTACAATCTATGTTTTATTTCTCAAGCTCTGGTTTCACAGAAGTGATGGCTCAGGTATTTCTGTTCTGTCAGATTGTGATTCTCAGATTGCTTCAGTTTGGGGTACAGGGTCTTGTCCTGTGAATTCACTGTTTATGAATCTAAGAAGCGTTGTTGATTTTTTAATTTGTTCAGCTTTTAATTGTTTGGTCAGAGTGGCAACTTCCAAACTTCTCACCTGCTGGACTAGAAATCCCCACCTGAACTTTCCTGACCCAGAGATCAAACCCAAGTCTCTGCACTGGCACACAGATTCTTTACCACTGTGCCACCTGGGAAGTCCTTTAAGATTCATACTTAAATAAAAATTCCATTCATAACTTACTCTTTTCTGAATATTTTCAGCATTTGCCCCAGTTTAAAAGTTTCAAATTTTCTTAAGGACTGTACAGTAGGTAAACCAAATGCTAAAATTAGATGAAACACAGTGGTGATTATCCTACCCACACTTCTTTCCACTCACATACCTCCCTTGTGCTGTATGCATTAACATTTCAATATAGATTTTAATACTGGATATCAAATAGTACGCTCCCCTTTTATATTCTAATAACTCTCCCATGTTAATGTGCATTCAGTAGTTTCCATCCTGATTATTATGGATTCCTTATATCTGCAGGAAATAGAATATGGATTGATATAATTTGAAATAGATCAGATGACTTCATTGTCTATTAAAACTTCTTGTAGTAGCAACTGTTAATCTAATCAGAGGCTACAAGAAGAACCAATGTGTTCTATTGAGCAACACAGAATATAAAAGAAACTTGCAGTGGAGGTAGGAGAATGCCTCATCTTTAAGATGCTGGAATACTAAGTGATTTAACATATGAATAGCAGTTTCCTTGAGGCAGAGAAGCAAGCAAATACAGCAGAAGCAAAAACACAAGGTACCATTAAAAAAATAATTTTACTTGAGTTGTAAATAGAAACATGCATTCAAACTGTAATGACTCACCATGATTTTAGCAAAAGAAAATATATATATATATATATATATATATATATATATATATATATATATATATATGTAATATTGGCTGGCACCTGAAAGTAACCCAGCAATATTTTTACTGTCATGGCAGGATACAAAAAATCAAATACAAAATCACAACCAAAAATGAAAACAAACATTCATGCATAGTTGTAGCACAAAACATATTACTTATAATAGGCAGTATTTTACAGCAATATAACTGTTACTTATATTGTATTTTGCAGTAATGGAGCTTTAATGTATAATGGATAGTATCTTGTTTAGAAAACCTAAATTCCATTCCGCTGGAGTGCTGAGAAAAAAATAACTTGAAAAATTTCATGCACAGGTAAATTAAATAAAAGTACACTTTAAGATAAGCAATGCTCAGAGTGTATGCAATTCATATTTTAGAATGTATTTCTGGAGACATGTGTACTCTCCTGGAATAGTAGATTATGCAAAAAGACATCATGTAAGCATTTTAAAGTAACAGTATAAAATATGGCTGAGAATTGAAAAAGTTAAAATAAAGATGGCTTTAATATTTAGGAAGACATATACTGTAGAAGTAAATGCAACCCAGTGATTAACAACACTGGCTGAGAAATCAAACAGATCTCAATTCAAATAATGCAAATAGCCTTTGCTAGCTGGGTCACCTTGAGCTATGTCTTTAGCCCACTTTAGCTTTGGTGTCCTAATTTGTAAGATGGGGATAACATCATCTTCCTTCATAAAATGGTAAAAGTTAAATGACAGAGTGTATGTTAATGCTGATGACACTGTCTCTCACTGATTAAGTGTTTGGGAAAAGCAGCTAGCAGAGACAGAGAACAGAAAGAGCAGTCCTGTAAAACTGCTGTAAATCTGTCTCTAAACACATCTTTAAGAGAGTGAACCGGCTACTTAAATCCTACGTAATGAACACTAAGCAGTATAGGGTTTGACAAAGATTGTATGAGCTCTGACATCACAGCAACTCCCCAGATATGTCCTCTAAAAAACCCTCCACAAAAACTAGCATCTATTATCACAGGGTTGAAAACTTTATTGGAGGAAAAAAAGTTTGCTGATGCTACCTTCAACGTTTCATTTCTGGGCTCTTTTATTGCTTTTCATACTGCAGCTACAGAAACTAGCTGAGGCACCCCCATTAGGTAAGCCCTTATTCAGCTCTTATTCTTTCCACCCATTCCACTGGTCTCCTATCGATGTCCCCCAACACACACCTCTTTCTTGCTTAATTGCACTCTGAAAATGATTGCCTTCCAGTTAAAGCAGCACTTTGCACTTGGTGTTTACTTCTCCAAGATAATACTCCCTATCACTCCTTTCCTTTGTGAACATTCATTTCAGAAAGAAGGAACCAGAACAAAAACCTCAAGGACCACCAAAACCAGTTCTGGAATCACCTGATGGCAGCCCTAATCATCTCAGTGTCTCCAGGAGGAAAGAAGAATGCAAGACTATCAATCCTGATCTTTACCTATAGCCCTATTCTCCAATCTGAAACCATAAGACACCTTCCTATTTCCCAGGAAATAGTTAGCCTACTGTGGACCCCTTGTCTGGCAAAGTCATAAAGCTGCTTCTTTTATGCCTCCAACAATGTCTCTCAGCATTTCTATTTGGTACCAGTGAACAGAGGCTGGGTTTTCAGCAATAATACTGAAATGAAGCAGGACCCTGTGGTCCTTCCCTCTCCCCATGAGCTATGCCTGCCTTCTCTCGGTGGAAAACTTCAAGCAAATAAGTTTAATCAGGGAAGTGAGAAAATGCAGAAGCAAAGGAAAACAACCGAACAGGACAAAACAATAATAGTTTAGTCACTAAGCAAGGTCAAGAACCTTTAGGTCCTTCCCAAGGGTTATAGATAAAATTCCGAGCCATATTCTGTAAGTTATCTTATAGATACTGAAACCCCCACCAGGTGAAAAAAGTTGACTACATGATGATCAGACTACAGCCATGACATAAGCTGCCACAATTCCAAAAACTGGCCTCAATGAACAAATCCACTATGGAACTGGAGATTAACTATACTTAAAACAATCAAAATGATGGCCACACCACTATGCTGCGCTTAGCCACTCAGTCATGTCCGACTCTTTGCAACCCCATGGACTGTAGCCTGCCAGGCTCCTCTGTCCATGGGATTCTCCAGGCAAGAATACTGGAGTGGGTTGCCATGCATTCCTCCAGAGGTTCTTCCCAACTCAGTGATCGAATTTGCATTTCAGATGTCTACTGCACTGGCAGGGGGGTTCTTTACCATTAGTGCCACCAGACCACTACATGACCAATTTCAAGACGACTGTCAGTTGACTGTGCTGTTTCTACACGTAGCCCCCTCCTTCTGGCTATAAAAGCTCTTGCCTACTGACTGTCAGTGGGGGGAGTCAAATTTTGGATAGGAGTTCACCCCCTACCAGATGTTGGCATCTGAAATAAAGCAAACTTTCCTTTCCACCAACCTTGCTTCTTCATTAGGGCTTCCCTGGTCGCTCACATGGTAAAGAATCTGCCTGCAAGGCCTGAGAACCTGGTTCGATCCCTGGGTCTGGAAGAGCCCCTGGCGAAGGAAATGGCAACTCCCTCCAGTATTCTTGCCAGGAAAATCCCTTGGACCGAGGAGCCTGACAGCTGTAGTCCATGGGGTCGTGAAGAGTTGGACATGACTGAGCAACTAACACTTTCTTTTTTCTTTCTTGCCTCTTCATTGGCTTTTGAGCAGTGAGTAGCTGGACCTCAAATTTTGGCTACAATAATACAAATTCCTGGCACTGTACACTTACATATAAGATTTTAAATTCTAGATTGTATATAAAAGATAGTAGAAAACATATTATTACTTTGACCTTAACCCTTTGTTAAGGGAATATAAAGGACTTGTCAACTTAAGAAGAAAAAAAAAATGAATAGAGGTCAAGATGCAAAGCATTTATCTGGGATCAAACAATTGCAATCTAGGCTACATAAATTTTGTTAGTAACCCAAAGAGAATCTCTATTGCAAGAGAGGGGCTCAGGGTTCTTATGGGGAAAGGAGAGGAAGGTGAGGTAACTTTTTTGTTTGTTTTTTTAGAAATGTTTATTGGTACAAGATGAAATAATCCATGTTCTGAAGTGTTCTGGTGAGGGACGAGGTAAAACTAGATTAAACTAGATTAAAACTAGGTAAAAGTTCATTTATCAGTCCTTTCGATAGGATATTCTAGTTCCTTTAGTATCTTAGAACGGTGGTGGTTTGATCCAGTTTAGAGGTACAGAAAAGAGGACAGGCAAGGCAGGTCCTCTGGAATGGTTGCTCTGCCTGTATTTTAAATGGCTCCACTCATCGTCTACAGAATGCCAATTTTAGAGTTCTGTGTATTTAAACAAAGCCTCCTAACTCAAATATGTGAAAGCAAAATGCCTCAGAATAACTACTATGTTTCTAGAAAACCATTTAAAGTTACTTTGATTGGGAGAACTTAGGCAAAATTTAGTTATTCATTCTTTAAAAAGAAGTGCACAATAAACTCTTTGCATAATTGTATAATTACTAGAGACGCAGTGATAAGTAACAACAGACAATAAGTCCTTTCATTCATGGACTGGTCAGAATGATCTCACCAACCTACAATCCACATAAATACCATGAAATTGAGATCAGTGGATTTATCTCATGCTTGACAAATTCTGGACCCATCAGCATCTGTCCTTACACAGGGTACACAGCCAACACCAGTTGGAATTGTGTGATGCCCATGAGTTCAGTCAGGAGATTAAACCTGTGGTGCGCATAAGTTTACTGAGAATATAGCCTGCCTCAGTGAGTGTTCAGCAGTCACAGGATGTAACAAGGACTTCAGCAGCGTTAGTAGAGGAAACTGTGTCTGTGGATAACGTGCTAGCAAACCACCCAGGAGCATTCTCACATCCAGAATGCCAGAAACAAACTGCAAAAGAATGTTCCACAGATGGAAAATTATTGCAGAAAACCCTTACTCTTGCATAGTGTCATGAAGAAGGTAGTCTTTGATTTAAAAAGCTCCAGTAAATCTATAATCATTTAGGAAATACACTCCATCTTTCTGATTTTGAAACTTTATATGTAGACTGAAATCTGAATTAACTGAAGCATTTTTAAAGGTTTTATCTGTTTAGAGCAGTGTTAGGATCACAGCAATACTGATCAGAAGGTACAGACATTTCCCCATATGACCTCTGCCCCTGCACATCCAGATTTCTCCCATTGTCATGACCACCATCAGAGTGATGTGTTTGTTACAACTGTTTATTGACACTTCATAGTCATCTGGTGTTCCTAGTTTACCTTAGGATTCACTGTTGGTGCTGTACATTCTATGAGCTTGGGAAAATGAATAATGACATATACCTATCATAATGGTATCAAAAAAAGTATTTTCACTGCCTATTCATTCCTTCCTTTTCTGTAACCTTTGCCAATTACTGTGTCTATAGTTCTACCTTTTCCAAAATGTAATATAATTGGAGGCATACAGTATATTGTTATTTAGACTGGTTTCTTTCACTTAATAATAAGCATTTAAGATTTCTTCATGTAGTTCTTCATAGCTCATATCTTTTTAATACCAAGTGATATTCCACAGTCTGTATGTAAACATAAAATTTTGCACATAAATTTGGACAAATATAAAGCTGTTTGCTTTATTACTGTTGGTCTTATTTTGTTAATTTTAGCATCTTAAAATGTCTTACAGAATGTTCTATAGTGAAAGTTTGTTGATGATTAATACTTTCAGTATTTATTTACAATTGTCTTTATTTTATCCTCATTGATGAACGAGAATTTTGTTGTGTCCACAATTCATCATTGATAGTTGTCATTCATGTCTTAGCAGATATGAGTCCACTTCTGTCTAGCTTCTACTGTATCTCTTAAGAGGTCTACTGTCATGAAAATCTGTTATGTCTTTCATTTCTGACTTCATTAGTTTTTCTCTTATTTAATTTAAGTGTCACACATTTTCTCTAGTATTTGATAGCCAGAGATTTATTTTTGTCTATCTTGTTAGGGGCATTCGTGGCTCTTTCTATCAATTTTGGAATATTTACAAACAGGTTTTCAAATATAATCTTTCCACAATGCTTTCTAAGCTTTCTTTCTGGCAATACCAATCAGACTCATACCACTTTATTCTTCCCTCATATTTTCTGTTTCTTTGAACTTTATATGTTCCTTAACTTTTTAAAAATTGAGGTTACTACTTCTATTTCCCTGTTACAGTAAACAAAACTCTTTAACATCTTTGATGAGTTTTAAAGTTCAACTATATTTTTTATTTGTGAAATCTTTTAATTATTTGTTAAAATTGGTTTGACAGAAATTTTAACCACAAACATTTGCTTGAATTTTATTTCCAACTTTCATTTCTTTAAATACTTCCATGGGAATAATTTTTTACATTCCTGGCAATTTCCTGGCTATAGAAAAATTTTTTTTCAGTTTACACATCTCAATAATGGTTCTTTTTTTTTTTTCTTCTTGGAATGTGGCCAGCTTTTAGGCTTGTTTTTATTTTATTTTTGCATTGTGGGGATTCCAAGTGTCTAAATAGGAGATGTTTTCTTCTACTAAAAACTTGGATTTGCTCGTCAAGAGTCTATACTATCATAGAATCCCATGAAACTGTGAGATTCACAACAAATCCCTTTTAGGCTGTTGCTGCCCTGATGGATGCTGCAGCCCTTAGACTGCCCTGACAGGAGCCTTGAGGGAACTCAAGATGCAAATAAAAGTGGCTGCCTGCTGGCAAGCCCTCAGCCACTGTATCAACCCCTAAATGGCACACCCTGAGGAAATTCAGCATGGGAAGGAACAGGCTACTTTGCAAATCAAAGGAATGATTTCAATGGGCCCAGACTTCTGAATCTTTCCATACACAGAAAAGTACTAAATTCATTAACTTGAGGTAACTGGTGGTGGTTTAATAGCTAAGCCGTGTTCGATTCTTGTGACCCTATGGACTATAAAGCTTGCCAGGCTCCTCTGTCCATGGGATTCTCCAAGCAATAATAACTAGAATGGGTTGCCATTTCCTTCTCCAGGAGATCTTCCCAACCCAGGAATCGAACCTGGGTCTCCTGCATTGCAGGCAGATTCCTTATCTTTATCAGCTACAAGGGAAGCCTATTGAGGTATCCGGTTTTCTTTAATTAACAGTAATCTTCTGAAGTTCAGAATACCAGATCTTTGTGGCAAAACTACTGTATCTCTTGGTTCCTCCCTTACCTTCAGTTTTTGGCACAATCCCTCAGAGTTACTGGAAAGGCTGCATCTCAGGCTGAAGTCCTCAGTTTTGTCCACCAAATAAAACTTAACTCTCAATTTTTATGTTGTGCATTTTTTTCTAGTTGACTCTTCTGTCATGTACTAACAAAGTATCTTGCTTCTGGCAAGTTTACTTAGCTGTAAAGAAAAAGAAAAAGAAAATCAGTGAAAAGATAGAAATTTAAAATATAGAAGTCATAATAGATTTAATGAAGAAACAAAGAATGCAGAAGTCCACTACAAAAATTAGAGACGACACAT